TTACAGCAGTAATATATAGACCCATAAAAGTTTAATGCTTATATTTTAATATAACAATAATCCACCTCCACAGTACCTTTTGCTAAAAAATTCCATTCTTTAGCTATTTTTTCATTACCCTAAATGTAGTCTCTTCAAGGGGTTTTCCAGTTCTACTCCCTCATATATTTGGGTTTGCCAAGTGCAGTGCGCAGAGTGAGCACAAGGCTTCTCAATGCAAATATGTGACACTTATGATTATAATGGCCAAACTAGCATGCTAAACTCTATGCAAATTTTTGAGTGCCTCGAAGTCTGGAACACTTGACTTTTTGAATATTCCATCAAGGATGCAGATTTCCTAGAGGAAACAATGCATCAAAGAAAGAATGTCTTTAAATCAATGTTGGCCAGTTAAGAGGAAAAGTAGTTCAAAATTTTATACATGGACATAATGCAAGAGATTAAAATCTAAAAACTTACTGTTTCAATGTACAGTACAATATGCAAAAGCAAGAAAGAAATTTGTTTAACTTTGCCTTATGTGACAACTGAAGGTTGTATGAAGCTGCAGGTGTCTTTTGCTTTAATTAATGTAATGCATTCCAGACCCACAATAACTGTAACAAGCTTAATCAGGTAATTAACACCTAATTCAGCACAAGAATCAACACATTTCGTGAACCACCAAATTACATAGTTAACGTAGATCACACATCCAAAATTCGATATAAAATGGACATTCTATAGTAGCAAATTTGCACAAGACAAAGGAAATCTGTATAGTTACAATAAAATATTTTACACTTACCACATTTTTGAAAAAAAAAAAAAAGTTATGGGAGTATTTTTCAGCACATTATTTTCCCGATTATATAATTGATAAAAAAATCAAGTCTTGTAAAAATATCAAACAAAATAAAGACAGTAAGCAATTACATAATCACTGTAATGAATAGTGCAGACCTCTTAAGTTTTTGTTTACTATTTATTATATGGAACAAAAATTCCTCACTGTCTAAACTCCATTAAATAAAATTGGTGGTTCTGAAACTGGAATTAAGGGACTGCTGAATATTTTCAGAGAAAGGCACATTACCACAGCTCCATCTGAAATCTTACTACTCAAGCACTGACAGCATCTTGAGTACAAGTTAAATTGATATCATTAGATGTGAAATGCCCTAATTTCTTTAAGTTAAAAATTACTAGCAATGTAACTTTCAATGCCTTTACAAAAATATCTTGTGTAGAGGGGCAAGATTATACATGCACATTGACCTGCAACTCTGTGAAGTGTTCACATCATCAAACTTGCATTTTCACCAGCAACCAACTGAAAAAATGTGACAGGTACTGCAGTACACAGCTAAATATTATAAAGGTTCATTTGTAAATTGATGTTAGAACAATCTAGTAAGGTTAGTACTGTATTTGTAGTGACATGAACGAATGGAGATACTTAGCAACCAATATCTCAACCTCAATATGAAGTGGCATTGGTCAACCCACTTTTATATTAATATAAAAAGAAACCAAATTTATAACACTAATATTCTTTATCTTGCCTATGGAAATCAGTCATTCATATTCATCGCAGAAGTGAAATAGGTAGCCTCACAATAATGCCTAATGTGAATAAACTTCTTTTTTAAGCAATATGGTAATTTGCATGAGGTTTAAGATATGTTTCTTGCACAAGCTCGTAGATATATAAATTTGCTTGGCCTAAAACAACAAATTGAAACTACCCATATAACTGTGGGTGCACACTAACAACTCACTGCACATGTTATCCTAGTACCACAGACATTAATATAGTTGAAAACTACAACACTAAATCCAATGGATTGTAATGTACCTCTGACAGGAACCCAAAATCAGGCAGTACTCAGTGCCTTTGCAAACTCAGACAGCAGGTAACATTTACATGTACAGTACCTACATTCCAGTCAATAAACAAATTCTCACTACAGTCACTACCATAAAAATCTGAAGCAAAAATTTCCAAAACAAGACATTTCAGTAAAAATAAAAAATGGTACACACCAATACCTGTTTTCCTCACCTTCTTGTAAGATATGTGTACAGAATGTAAATTATGCATTATGTAATAGGAAAAATATCAGTTACACACTTAAATTTGTTAAAAAATTGGTAGAATTTGCTATCACAGTGTCAGGTATATTGTGCTCACATTACCTCTCAATTTTATCACTTGCAAGAACAGTAATTACATACCTTACCAAGCACTATCATTTAAATAGTTTGTTAGGTAGAGATACAATACAAAATATTGACTAAACATTTAACTCCTATGAAAATTGAGAGACTGGTACAGATTCCTACCATCATCAAGTATACCCATGTTTCACAAATTTTCCTCTCAGTAGTGTGCTATAGCACACACCTGTAAATAAAAATAGGCATACAGCTATAAATATTGCCATAATTATACTATTTTGTAGTCACCACTCCACTCAAATGTTGCCCATGTGTCTTATGATAAATTTGACTTGGGGATGGGGAGGGGGTGGGGTTATTGCCAGTCTGGAATTCATCACTTAGTGGATTCACTGATAGCTTTCTGCCTAAACTTCATTCATGGCTACAGGACAGGGGTAACTTGTGCACTTGAAAACCCACTCGAAGCTGGTTTAAACCCACAGTGTTCCTACCTCTTGTTACATTCTTGATGGCATGAAATTTTCCTTTATAGTTGACAGGAATATTGGGATATAAAATTGTTACCCATTACCCAAGGTACCTTTGGAAGTTGAGTAGGGTATGTGTTAAGGCTCCAATCTTGAGCAATCACAAGTCATTTCCTATCAAAGTTGGGTGATCCTAAGAAGAAAAATATCTGGAAGTGCTCAGACAACTACATTTCCAACTGCATTCAATATGCAAGCTCCACAATTATCACCTCCACAACTTAACTTCAACTAGACTGCTTTCAAACAGCTTGTCAAATCCTAAGAACTATACGTCTCCACTGATCTAACACACTTGCACATGCTTAGTGGATGCTCAAATCCCTACCTCTCTGTCCCTCCTTCACACCTTCCTATTCCTCCACTACCTTTCCTCCACCCCAGTATTTATACACCCTCTTAAACAACCTACCTTGCACCCCTCTCTCCTCTCTGAACTGTACCTTTTATACAACTAAATCATTTTCTAATGCGTGATATTCACACCACACACAATCAATTTTAAATATGATATCTCTACTGTCTCCAGCTGTCTCCTAGCCCACCTGGTCAGAGACTGGGTTGTGATTAACAGATGGAAGAACAAACTTTCTCCATTTCTTGTGCTGAATGACCACCACGACATTTAGTGTCTCATGAAGTACAACCCTTCCTGCAACACTTTAAAAACTACTTTTCACAATACAAATGCATTAGTGCCCCTATACTCTTTCATACATTTTTTTTCATCCATCAACAAAAACTTTTCATAATGCCTTAACACTCAAGCTAATTTTTTTTACCCTCATCTATTCTGTAAATTAGCTCACATTTAATAGAGCCATCCTCGGATACATCCACTCACCAATATCTAAATACTGCATGTTCACTTCCTTAATACTTTTTCTAGACTAGTGGTTCTAAAACCTGAGGGACATGGTAGGCTATAATAAACAGTAAATGTTTAAAGAAAATCTGGGAATCTGAAATGAACATGTGTGTTTATTATGGTATTTAGACTTTGCACAAGAGAATTTTCCCTTATTGTCATTCCATTTTAATCATAATGCTGACACAACCTACATATTTACATGTGGTGCTAACTGCTTTTAACACAAAAGCTCAGATTTCATAGGTCCAATACTTGTCTGCGTGACTGTCATTGGGCTGAGCCTCTGAACTAGCATTTCCAACATGTGTGTCATTGCTCTGCAAGCAGTAATGAAACAGAATGATTTCAGTTTTCCAGGAAAACATGAGTATGCTGTCTCTGAGCTATACAATGAGCATGACTTGAGCATAAATACTCCAATACTGGTGTGGCTATTCTGTTTCATGTGGTCACTGCCTTGTGTGTGCAAAATATTTGTACACTTTCATTATTGTCCTATTTATAGCTATCATTGTTGTGCATCTTCATTTTTTACATAAATAATTTTGTCATTTTAGTGATAAATTGGTGATTGTCATTGTTCTACCGCATATGATAGCTGATGCATGTGCAGTATACATATATATCTGACTTTCATGTATAAAGTACATTTAAGGGAAAACTGACAGTCAGGGGGGGAAGGAGGGATGGATGATGACTTTCAGTTGCTCAAAGGCAATTAAAATATTTTGAGAACCACTGGCCTAGACCTCTTTTTCTCAAACTCTCTGCTCATTTGCAAGCTATGATGAATGCAATAGAGTAATGTGTGATACTAAAATGAGTCAGAACTTGGAATGGAAAACACTTGCCTCACCACAACCAGGAGAATAGCACCAACAAAAATTAGCTGTAAAGATGATGTTCCATATGTTTTCAAGTATGAAGGCATTGTGAATTATGAATCTCTTCCAAGAGATACAATAGTCAATCAGCAATACTACTTGGATATTTCTGCAATGTCTGTGTTGCTCTCTGAGAAAAAGAAAGGAGAAACTCCTAGATTCTGTAGCATGACAATGTGCCATGTCATGAAGTGAGAGTTTCTTACGCAAATAATGCTTAAAACTTGACAGAAATTAATGCAGCACATACACTCCTAGCTACCTAAAAAGAGGACTTGAAGTGCTTCTATAATAATGACTTGTAAAATTGTAATGCCATGATTGTGAACAACTCACAGAATGGGAGAGGGGTTCGAACCTCACTCCATTCTTAGTGTTGCTTCCATAAGCTATAGCACTGGTAACACAAGCATTTGGAGCACACATTCATACATATTTATTCTCTGATTTTTATTTGGATTAATGTACCTTTTATGACAGCAGTAAATTTGCAACATATGGGGCTTTCTCATCTATAGTTCATACAGCATTTAATATTTTTTTCCTCAAGTAAACACTAGTTAAAACTTGCCTAGGTTACATACATCAACAGGTGTTTATCTCAGCAAATGTATGCCAAGAGTTCACCTTAATCCCTAATCTAGGAATTAAGAGTATCTGACTGGTGGTGTAAAAGTTACAAGCGGTCTTAATTAAAGACCTTGTAGTCAATAGGCCTGAAAACCAATAAAACTTACATAATGACTTGTACAAAGGTTTTTTTGGTCAGTCACATTTTCTTCAATAATTTATTAGTGTCAAGCTCAAAAAACTCTTGTATCAAGTTTATAAAACTTTTTTTTTTCACAGCTACTGGAAGTTCACTGTACTAATTGATTACCTCTTGAAAATTCTATACATAATGTAGCCCTAAACATTGTCAGTGGGTGATGTGGAAGGAATATCCGAGGTTTTGGTGAAACAGGGCACTGAGCACCAAAGAAGACTAGGAACTAAAGAAATGCCTCCAATAAAACAGTATATTATGACATAGTTGCCTGCCATATCGCTCATCCAACCTGCATAAAAAAAAAAAATTATTAGAAATTTTAATACTGTACGTATAATACTGTGTCAAACATTTCAAACCTTATGAGGATAAAAACATGTACAGCAGTCTATTTATATTTGTCAACCTTAAATTATAGTGGAATATTAAATGAAGGCTACTGTATTTAAAAGTGTAAAATGTGCTTTAATACTAGATATGTTGGGAGAAAACTATGGACTAAAAAAAAAAAACACAATGCAACTGAGGGGAGTTTTTCCGACAACGTAAAGGCTCTTTTCACAGGAATCTTAAGAATTTTTTTTTTATAGATTCTAACCTATATATGCCTTTACCTTCTTCTGATGAAATATGACTACAGTACCTTCAGGCACTTATCGGACTGATTTTTTTATGTGGATTGTAAAATGCACCACATGGGCAAAATGGTCAAATGTGATTAATTGATGACGATGATTTTGTTTGCCTGTATTAACATGGAGAGTTAGTAACCCAGGATAACCCAATAAGTCATTAGACTGGCTTGTTTCCTTAGGCTCCTTCAGCTTTCTTTCCCAGGATGTGACCCACACCAGTTGAATAACTCCTGGGTACCTACTAACTACCAGTACACTACTCCCAAAAACTACTCTCACAGTCAGGACTTTCCACAGAGTAAATGAGGGAATAATGGTAACAGGAGTACTGAGTCTATTAAATTATTCTACAGAGTAGCTATACACATTGAATAATACCAGTACCATTAATGACCTGTATTAACTAAAATTTCAGAAATAGTACATTGGAAATATAGTACACTGGAAAATCCAACTTTGCAAATATTCTCCATGTTACAGTTTTATTAATCAAAAATTTTGGACAAAGCATTAATTTTTCTTTCTATTCCTACTACTATTTTTCCTATTACTATATTGTTGTACTGATTAATGGCCATAGTTTTTCCATACACTACTCAAAACCAGATACACTATCCTGTACTGGTATTTGAACTACTGTATTCTGAGTGTTTCCTATATGTGTATACTGCTGTATTTAATTAACATCTCTGTTTTACAACCGACAGCCAACAAGCACTAGGTCATTAGCCAAACCCACTCGTTTGTCTAAAATGGATATACCATACTGTAATGTATGAGTAATGGTCCACGGCCGGGCTCTGAGAGTAGAGAGACTCGGAACTCATCAAAGGTATATCAAAGGTAGGGTTTTAAGACCTGTGTGGGGCAACTGGGAGATATATACTGTACCAGCATGCAATACATAAAATAAAATATTTCCCTGTAATATTATATACTGTGAAGTGGAAACTTGTAATCGTTTTACATGATGGTAGGATTACTGGTGTCTTTTTTTTTTGTCTCAACCATGTGGGATACCAGGTATATCTTGCTACTTCTACTTACACTTATTTCACACTACACATGCATGTATATGCATATATATACATACCCATCTGGGTTTTCTTCTTTTTTTTAATAGTTTTTGTACTTCTTTATTTCCTCTTATCTCTATGAGGAAGTGGGACAAAATTCTTCCTCCGTAAGCATGCATGTCATAAGAGGAGACTAAAATGCTGGGAGAAAGGGGCTAGTAACCCCTTCTCCTACATAAATTACTAAATTAAAAAAAAAATCATTTTTCTTTTCTAGGTCATCCTGCTTTGGTGGGATACAGCTGGTTTGTTGAAAAAAAAAATATATATATATATATATATACTGTAAATTGAAAATGAAAAGAATCCTTACCAGTCAAGGGTATGAGTAGAAGCCCACCAATTCCATTAATGAAGAGCATCAAACCAAACGAGTGTGGTAAAAGCTTCAACCCTAAGTACTCCACAAGCAACACTGGTTCGACAGACATACAGGTACCTACACTGAAGCCGTACCAAGCGCAGCAAGCTCCCGTGGTTAAAAAATTCCAGGCAAATGATATTGCTGAGGAGAGAGAAAAAAAGTCATAATGTAGATACAGTATATGCAATAATTCACTACAAATGACAAGTCTAGCCTTTTCAAACAGTAATTTAAAAGTGCATTTTATGTAATTAATGTACTCTATATACATTAGACTCTTATAACACATTCACATCACACGTCATCAATAAAACACTCGTGAAATTTTGTTTACCATTATCATGCTGAACAGGGACAGAGTTGTACTGCATGATACACCATGCAGTAAATTTGGGGACAATAAGCTTCCACCCACATAACATTTCAATTCTTTTTAGAAACACTCCTTGAAATACAGTATGATGTTAGACTCAAAAAAAAAAAAAAAATACAAAAACATATTAGCATCACATGATTTATAAAAGTATCTAAGTGTTGAATACAACTTTGAGCTTGCTAAAAATGATAGTATTTAAATCACTAATTTTTATGTTAAGGCACTCACTTAAGTTTGCCAAGACAGAGTTAACAGAAGCAATGATGACAAAGTAGCGACGTTGCATCAACCCCTGGTCACAGAATAAAGATGTAAATAACTTGGCTACAAGTTCAAACGAGGCAACGATGATGTAGAGAAATGGAGTTTCTCTTCCTACACCAATCTCAAGTGAAAGTGACGGTAAGTAGTTTATGAAAGACACGTACACCTGCAAAACAAAACAAAAATTATTTTCCTAAGATAAACCTTAACATAATCAGACTACTGTATACATATAATTAACATTAGTATCCAAATCTACCCAAGGTTGGGGAAAAGAGGAGGTGGTAAGGGCTGTTGAATTTGCAGAGTACTGGTATTCATACATTATTCAGCACTGCATACAAATCACTTTTGCACAGTCAAACAGAAAACTATTTACATACCAGTACTAACAAAAAATTAAAATAACCTAAATACTGTAGTCATGAAAAATAAAAGGTTAAAATTTAAAATCTGATATCTATTCAAAACCACCAAATTGTTCATAATAAAAGGCTCCACTAAAATGTCACCAATGCCATCCCAGTGATTATAAAACCTATGGTAAAGCTAGAGCCTAGGGAATATTAAAATGTAGTTCAAAGCCAAAGGCATGCTGCAAGCTGAACAGAGATGACCCTTTAACAAAGTACCTTGATGCCGGTGAAAGTCTTGATCTGAAAAATTGGAGCTTCTCTCCCCCTTCCTCGGATCAAATCTGATTACCTCCCATTTCCCAGGCACTGTATGACACTTATGGGTTTAGTGATTTCCTGTGAATATAATAATGTAGAGATATTAGCAGGATACCCTGCAAGCGTGACCTACTCTCAAACTGCAGATCTTCTCTGTGATCATTCATGTGAAGAATTTACCTAAGAGGCACTATACCTGGCTGACTTCAGAGACGAAGTCAAGGGCCACAGTACATAGTGGGTTTGTGGAGATAAGATGCCTACCCTGTGGTTTGTGTAGGGGTATCATTCCTTACATTTGAATATCAAGCATGTGTTTTTAATACATGCTTCAATGATCCTCACCTTTTATTTCACTTAAGCTACTTTCCAAAGTAAGAAATAATCTTCATCAGTCTGTCCTGAAAACTAAATTGGTTCCCCAAAAATATAGTCCACCATCGATGGGAAAATACAGGTATTATCTCAAGTCTGCAGTACAGACTACTAAACAGAAAAGTGTTTGATTCCAAACTTCTGGTTCTCAACTATATTACCTGGAATTGGGCAATAGGAAGAAATCAACAAAAGGGACTAAAACATGTCCTTATCCTATATATATGTAGTATATATGTCTAACAGGTTAAATTTATCAGATATCCCAATAGTCAGTGATCATTCAGCACTCTTGACGAAAGAAAAAAAAAAAGATGCAACATGCATAACACCCAACTTAAAATTAGAAAACAAAAAACTACTGGCATGAATAAAACGAATACTACTACATCAAGTAAAAATAACTGTCAATTAAAAATCACACTAAAGTGTTAATGTCAAAAGACTCTCCTGAAAGTTCTCAAAGATCCCTAATGGCACCCTGGAAATTACAAAAACCAAGGCAAAAAAAAATCCCCAAGTTGTGAGCAAACAGCTAAAATGTGTACCACATTAGGCAACACACCAGAATTTACACAGAGAAGGTGGGCAGGCGCACGTGCAAACAGGTAGCAATGGGAGAGATGTGTGCCCTCGGTCCTGTCCCAGTCATCTTGAAGTAATGATTCCTATTGAAGGAGAAGCCAAACACTTCACATCAGTAGGGATCACCAAGCTTGCCACTTACCAAGGACTTGTTTATATAGAACCATAAAACCACTAAAGCAGAAGTCTACTACAGCGCAAGCTTGTTATAGCATCCTTTGCCCATCCACTGACCGAGACACTATGACCCAGGAACCAGGAGAACGCCACGTCCTTGCGTCATTCATGGAGACAAGCTAACCACTCTTAGAGCTTTTAAACCACAGAGTTGACAGAAGCATACTGGGTCTAAACAATGCACATAAGGAATCCTAGTAGGCAATAAATCAAGATCCAACTAGGCCAGCCTATCAGGAGAAGAGCAGAGAGGATTGCTTGGGGATCAGCAGTTCAAAATTAAAAAAAATTATTTCTTTGCATATACAATGTGTAGTTTACATGTAGTAATACTGTTAAGCGCAAAGAAAGCCACTAATATGCATGAGCATTTTGGGCAGACTAATCCTAATTCCTACAGACTATGTACTTAAAACTAGACATGTTATGGAGTGAATTTTAATTATATATTAATACAAAAAGAGGGGAAGTAAAAATTTTATAATTTATATAATTTATAGTAGAGGGGTTGCAAAAAAAAAAAAAACATTAGTGATTACAGAGGATTCATTTAGTAACTGAAAACAACAACTCTTATTGGCTATTGCTGCAAAGCCAGCATTACTCTCACTCTTCTACCTGTTGGTAAAGACTTATATCCATGAAGCATGAACGAAATCATGCTCCAAGAAACTAGCAAGAGTCTGTACCTAGGGTGTCCTCATCCACTGTTTCCTAAGCAACTGCCACTGTCCAAGGAGTTAAGGAGGGCAGGCAGAGTATTATTATTATTATAATCAAAAAGAAGCGCTAAACCTATTAGGGTCATAGCGCAGGCAGGCAGAGAAGCCAACCTCTGACTGACTACCTCAATCTTCTGTTTTTTTTTATATTAGACTGATGAAGCCACTGTGTGGCAAAACACTGCCACAGTAAAGATACCCAAGTGTTGCCCATGTGTCTTAATTTATCAACTTGTAGGTTCTCTGAACCATTTATCTACACACACTGACCACAGACACGTCAAGCCCATTGTCTTGAACAGCCCACAACAGACCACAAAAGGTCATTGAAGATTGATGCCATTCACAAGTTACATTTTAATCAGAGAAAAACGCTAAACCCATAGGGGGTCATATAGCACCTGTTGAATGGGAGGCATTCAATGTTTCTATTGTGAAATATTTACTTTAAAATTTAAGATTACATTATCAAAACAATCAAAGTGACACTTTGTAATATGTAACACTGCATGTGCAGACTTGATGAAGTTGGTTTTCAAGCAAATGAAGGAAAAAGGTATGAAGAAGGCAAATTGCAATTGATTAATGGTTAAAGATCAATACGAAACTGCTGATGCTGATGTATCTGAAGATGTTAGATTACTTCCCAGTTTAACATATCCAGATATTGTAAAGTACTTGGTATTTTAGCCTAGTCTTAATACACCCGAAGAATTAAAAAGTTCAGGTTTAGAAGCCTATGTCTGTGGATGATGACATATAGAGAAAAAAATGCCATGATAAATTCCTGGTCATCATAGCAAAGGTAGGCCTTTGACTAACAAATATTAATACTGTAGTTATAAAAGTCATCACATGCATTTTAGGTAACTTAACTCTAGTTACAAAAGTGGTTTCTAATGACATATTTCATATCTTAAAAAAATGCTTCAGAATCTTCATGATAAATTAAAAACAATGGAGATTTAATATATTTTTTTTTCAACAAGTCGGCCGTCTCCCACCGAGGCAGGGTGACCCAAAAAAGAAAGAAAATCCCCAAAAAGAAAATACTTTCATCATCATTCAACACTTTCACCACACTCGCACATTATCACTGTTTTTGCAGAGGTGCTCAGAATACAACAGTTTAGAAGCATACACATATAAAGATACACAACATATCCCTCCAAACTGCCAATATCCCAAACCCCTCCTTTAAAGTGCAGGCATTGTACTTCCCATTTCCAGGACTCAAGTCCGACTATATGAAAATTTATATATGAAGATTTAATATATTACTTCATATTCATTTCCACAACTAGACATTACAGTTCAAATGCTCTGATATATCCAGTACACTAACAGTTTTATTAGTAAAGCTGTAGGTACTTTGCTCTGAGATTAAGCAAAAAGCCACTACAACCATGGATTGTTGCAGAAAGATGGGTGTATACAGCATCATCAGTATATTGGCATCACATTGTACCTGTATGACAGGTTGCTAATGTTTAATACACTAAAATATACAAGTTTTAGATGATACAAAATGTACTGAACATCAGTTTTATTACAAATATTTCAAAAACACCTCAAGAAAATTTTTCACAAGCATCACCTTGTTTTTTTTTTACCAATTCAAGGAATCTAAATACTCTAAACGTGACTCTCAATGCAATCTGTTATGACAACCAATAACTACAATATTTCACACTGTTTAATGAAAAATTAATTAGCTGTAAATTATCAAAATTAATTTGTAAAAATCTCGCAATTCTAATCGTGTGTTGTTGGGTGTAACCAACATGGCCAACCCAGATATTGACGATATTACAAGAAAACCCTCGAATCTCAGTCTGCTGCTAGGATGTCTACAGCCATCTAAAAATGGAAGCGCAATAAGGACGGGGTGCTTGGCTAAGTCTGGCGTTGGGTGGACCATGTTAATGGAAAAAGCTTCCACACAGTGGAACCACGAGAAGTTGGTGCCTGAACTGATTAACTAGGTGGTTTAGAATAGAGAAAGTATAAATGTAGAAAGAAAAAATGGGAAACTTCAAACTGACTAATAAAATTAAATCACTGACCTCTCGCTAGTCCCCATATTCCATATCAATGTCACAAACAGTATCAACTTTCTAGAATTCAGTGATCACTCCTCACCTTAACCCAGGGCACAGCCCAAGGATGTCTCACCAAGAATTAACAGAGCAATACCAAGAAAAAGCACCTACCCAGACTGGGAGCAATGAAAGAGCTAGCAGCATTCTGCTAGGGCATGGGTAAACTAGCATGAATGCAGAGTTGCATTCATAAATACTGGATATACTACCATCATGATGTGCGACCCCATGGTCCACCTAACGGTTTAATCTCCTTTGGATGTTGCAGCCACCTCAGCACAGCAACAGGTGGGAAAAAGGAGTAACAATGGTGCCTCACATAATCCCCTGCAGCACAATTTAACAAATGAATATGGTGGGGATCCCACCCCCCTAACTAAATAAAGAGAAAGGGGAGGGGGAAGTCTCTTTGCCACTGACCACCTATCAAGGCTTTATGACTGATCATCTAAAAATTACATTTCATCTCCAGTGTCAATCATTTATATCCGACTGAAGAAGTCTGCTATGCAAGCAAAATATTTTGACAAAAGATACCAAAGTGTCGCACATGCACATGTAAATAGTGTGTACTTTTTTTTTTTTTCAACAAGTCGGCTGTCTCCCACCGAGGCAGGGTGACCCAAAAAGAAAGAAAATCCCCAAAAAGAAAATACTTTCATCATCATTCAACACTTTCACCTCACTCACATAATCACTGTTTTGGCAGAGGTGCTCAGAACACAACAGTTTAGAAGCATATATGTATAAAGATACACAACATATCCCTCCAAACTACTAATATCCCAAAACCCCTCCTTTAGAGTGCAGGCATTGTATTTCCCATTTCCAGGACTCAAGTCCGGCTATATAAAAATAACCGGTTTCCCTGAATCCCTTCACTAAATATTACCCTGCTCACACTCCAACAGATCGTCAAGTCCCAAATACCATTCGTCTCCATTCACTCCTATCGAACACGCTCATGCATGCCTGCTGGAAGTCCAAGCCCCTCGCCCACAAAACCTCCCTTACCCCTTCCTTCCAACCTTTTCGAGGATGACCCCTACCCTGCCTTCCTTCTCCTACAGATTTAAATGCTCTCCATGTCATTCTACTTTGATCCATTCTCTCTAAATGACCAAACCACCTCTATAATATGACGCAAAAATTGCAATCTGGTCATCATGCTATTAAGATAAATTAAGGTAGCTCATGCAGTACATAACAGCTGCATATACTTTGCTCTGAAGAACACTTGTGCTATGTTGTCGAGTGTGTCAAGATTCATGCTTATTATGTTAAGAGCAACAAAATGTATTTTACTTATGACTATGTTTGCACAAGAATATGCCTACATGTAAATAATGATTATTCACTCCAAAATAACATGTTTATGTTGATCAAGTAAGCGTAAACATGCCGAGAAGCTATGAAAAAAAAACGGAACGGGTGGGGTTTAAATGCATGGCAAGTGAGTCATGATGAAGCTTTGGTTATAAATTTGACACCATACACTTCTAAACTTTATAAGTAACCAAAATTTTTATTTTTTTTTACTTACCACTCTATTAATCATGGTGCTGAAGGCGGCTACAATGAATACTGGATGTCGTAATATACGAAAATTTATCATATCTGATAACTTTGGAAACTTAATTCCACAAATAACATGTGGCTTATGAAATTGTGTTCTGGGAATATTTGATATATTGATATTATTTTTTAGGTTTCTATCTCTTTCAACTTGTAAGCTGTCTTTCAATTTTTCAGTTTTAATTGATAAGGCACTACCAAATTGATAGATAATGTCATCATAGTCAAAAATGCTCTCACTTGAAGGAGCTGTTACAAAAGAATCAACACTCTTAGAACTTATAAAGCTCACAGGTCTATTTCTAATCTCATTTTCTCTATTTAAAAATTCTATTCTCTCATTACCAATCTCTTGGTCATAGGTTTCAAAACAGTCCTCGTCTTCACTTTCTTCCGGGATCTGGGGAAGAATTTCCATACTTCTCTCTATGCTCACAGTTCGAGGTCGCTCTAGGTACTCGTTCGTTTGTAAGGTATCTGTTAATGGGTTTTTCCATTGTCTGCCATTACCCAGACTAAAAGAATCTGACAATCCCCTCCTCACACTGTCATTACCAGATGCTAAATCATGGCTGGTGTAAGTATCCTCTGAATCACTTTCATCACTCTCGTCTTTCTCTGAAGTTAGATGTTTGATAACACTGTCATCTTCATAAGCACTAACTTTTTGATCCTCCGTCTTTTCATTAACAACTTTCCCAGGAAGAATATCATTTCTCACTTGACTCTGTCCACCATTCTTTTCACTTTTCAGAGATTCCAAACCAGGTGTTCTTTTGGGTCGCATGTGCCACTCTACTGGTTGGAAGAAAAACACACCGATGAGTGCATGAAGGAGTAATCCAGACCATAACATGAAAGTGCCTTCAACTGCGTATGTTTCTAAGAGATAATTGAGAGTCGGCAACATGGTCATGAACCCCAAAGATCCACCTAGCATGGAGAGTGCATTGGCTCTAACTTTCTTGTGACAAAAATATTTCTGCCCAATAAGGAAGCCTTGTGGTGCAAGTAGTGAATTACCAAAACCTGAAAAAATATAGAGAGTTTCAATTAAAAATATATTCACCCACATTGGCAAAAATATATGGTGCTATACACTGGAAATATAGTGATCATGTTATTTTTTTTATTAATGGATGTAAAAAACCAGTGTGCACCAATAAATATGGTAATAGGTGCTGAAATACTGTACTATGCAAGATCTTTAACAAATTATTAATGATGGATTAAGTGGCAGATGACTGTCAGATAATTAACATAATACTAATGACTGCACAAGGAAGGGGGTCAGGCAGGCATCCCTGAACTAGTGTCCCTGATAAGTGTATCCCTGATAAGTGCAATGTGCAAATTGCTGAAAACAGATTCAAAGGAAAAAATTTCATAGTATACATAAATTCCTCATATAATCTAGCATATTTTCAGAAATGAAAGAAAGTGCATTGCAAACATTATGTAATATATAACAAAACTTCAAACCAGCTGGAGAGAAACAATGAAGAGAGGAGGTAAATACTTAAAAAACTGCAAACTATACAAACATACAAAGACAATGAGAAAATAAAAACAAATGACAAATTAAAGTGTTAAAAAAATTAGTCATTTACGACACTAATAAAAAATGCACGGACAGAAAGAGCAAAAAACCAACCTGTCAGCCCTCCAAAACAAATGTAGTACCAGACAAGACTTCTGATAATTGAGCAGAGAAACACTCCCAGTGAACTAATGATCACGCCAAGCATCGCAAGACACCGGTAACTGTAGAAATGGCTCAAGCCCGTCGACAACGGTGCTGCAAAAGACACATGGTGAATTAGGCAGGTAATGATAAATTTATATTAAGGTCTTAAAAACGAATGTTTACCTAAATGTTATGTTAGAAATTATAATTTAACACTTCGACATTATACCAATGAAAACAGTATCAATGATATTACACATACACCTGCAAGTATGTTAATAAGACAATATGTAGCTTATGGCACTGTAATAAGGACATGTATCATTCACCCAGGACTACTACAATTATCATCGAGATGAGTAATGCATTCAGCCAAGTGGAAACTTCGAAGTTTAAAACTTGTCGAGTCAGCAGGCTAACTTCAGTACTTCTCCATATAGATTGCCTGGAGTTTACCTGGAGAGAGTTCCGGGGGTCAACGCCCCCGCGGCCCGGTCTGTGACCAGGCCTCCTGGTGGATCAGAGCCTGATCAACCAGACTGTTGCTGCTGGCTGCACGCAAACCAACGTACGAGCCACAGCCCGGCTGATCAGGAACTGACTTTAGGTGCTTGTCCAGTGCCAGCTTGAAGACTGCCAGGGGTCTGTTGGTAATCCCCCTTATGTGTGCTGGGAGGCAGTTGAACAGTCTCGGGCCCCTGACACTTATTGTATGGTCTCTTAACGTGCTAGTGACACCCCTGCTTTTCATTGGGGGGATGGTGCATCGTCTGCCAAGTCTTTTGCTTTCGTAGTGAGTGATTTTCGTGTGCAAGTTCGGTACTTATGTAACAGCAGCGTCATATCCGGTGAGAATAAACAATACTTCCCAAATTAGTTATGAACCTGAATTCTGTATAGCGCTAGTGTGACAATCAGAACAGATTCTAAGCAAAGTGTTTCGTCAGTGCTTCCTTGATACCTAGTTTGGAACTAAGAAAGGTCATCGGATTCTCTGTTGCAGTGAACAGTACTGTACAAGCGTTGTTTGTGTCATCTCCTTGGCAGACATTATTACTCTATTAAGAGGTCATTGGATCTGTTGGATCTGTGCTCCAGTTTCCCAAATTAAGCCTGAATGCCTTCCACATCCGAGTCTGGAGTCTGGAGAGAGTTTCGGGGGTCAACGCCCCCGCGGCCCGGTCTGTGACCAGGCCTCCTGGTGGATCAGCGCCTGATCAACCAGGCTGTTGCTGCTGGCTGCACGCAAACCAACGTACGAGCCACAGCCCGGCTGATCAGGAACTGACTTTAGGTGCTTGTCCAGTGCCAGCTTGAAGACTGCCAGGGGTCTGTTGGTAATCCCCCTTATGTGTGCTGGGAGGCAGTTGAACAGTCTCGGGCCCCTGACACTTATTGTATGGTCTCTTAACGTGCTAGTGACACCCCTGCTTTTCATTGGGGGGATGGTGCATCGTCTGCCAAGTCTTTTGCTTTCGTAGTGAGTGATTTTCGTGTGCAAGTTCGGTACTAGTCCCTCTAGGATTTTCCAGGTGTGGTGGCAATCCTGACATAAGAACATAAGAAAGAATGAACACTGCAACAGGCCTACTGACCCATGCGAAGCAGATCCATGCCACCCCCCAGCTTAGAACAACGACCACCTAGTCAGCATGACTCACGAAATCGTAATGACACGATTGCAAACAAACCATATCCCGGCCGGGATTGAACCCGCGGTCAGAGAGTCTCAAAACTCCAGACCGTTGCGTTAGCCACTAGACCAGCTAGCCACAATAAGATTCGTCCAACTAGGTATATTTCTACACCATAGGAAGGTTAGCATAGGCATTTGTGGTCACAGTGGTGCCTATGCTAACCTTCCTATGGTGTAGAAATATACCTAGTTGGACGAATCTTATTGTGGCTAGCTGGTCTAGTGGCTAACGCGACGGTCTGGAGTTTTGAGACTCTCTGACCACGGGTTCAATCCCGGCCGGGGTATGGTTAGTTTGCAATCGTGTCATTACAATTTCGTGAGTCATGTTGACGGCAGTGAGGGGACTTGAGCTAGAGTTCGTCACGGCCACGCTAGCTGGAGATTCGTCTGTAAAAACTTGCATTTGTGGTCACAGTGGTGCCTATGCTAACCTTCCTATGGTGTAGAAATATACCTAGTTGGACGAATCTTATTGTGGCTAGCTGGTCTAGTGGCTAACGCGACGGTCTGGAGTTTTGAGACTCTGACCGCGGGTTCAATCCCGGCCGGGGTATGGTTCACCTAGTCAGGTCACTTCCATTTAAGGAAGAAGCACGGCATCAGACCTGGTAGCACAAAATACTGTGAGGAATTGACAAGGTGGACAAAGACAGGATGTTCCAGAGATTGGACACAGTAACAAGGGGACACAGTTGGAAATTGAAGAAACAGATGAATCACAGGGATGTTAGGAAGTATTTCTTCAGCCACAGAGTAGTCAGTAAGTGGAATAGTTTGGGAAGTGATGTAGTGGAGGCAGGATCCATACAAAGCTTTAAGCAGAGGTATGATAAAGCTCACGGTTCAGGGAGAGTGACCTAGTAGCGATCAGTGAAGAGGCGGGGCCAGGAGCTCGGACTCGACCCCCGCAACCTCAACTAGGTGAGTACAACTAGGTGAGTACAAGCTAGTCAGGTCCAACTCACACCCACCCACACCTACTCATGTATTTATCCAACCTAGTTTTAAAACTACACAAGGTCTTAGCTTCTATAACTGTACTTGGGAGTTTGTTCCACTCATCCACAACTCTATTACCAAACCAGTGCTTTCCTATATCCTTCCTGAATCTGAATTTTTCCAACTTGAAACCATTGCTGCGAGGCCTGTCTTGGCTGAATATTTTCAGCACGCTATTTACATCCTCTTTATTTATTCCTGTTTTCCATTTATACATCTCTATCATATCCCCCCTAATTCTACGCCTTTCTAGAGAGTGCAGATTCAGGGTTCTCAGTCTATCCTCATAGGGAAGATTTCTGATACATGGGATCAACTTTGTCATCCTCCTCTGTACGTTTTCCAGTGCATTTATATCCATTCTGTAATTTGGTGACCAGAATTGTGCAGCATAATCTAAATGAGGCCTAACTAAGGATATATAGAGTTGAAGAACAACCTGACGCTGCCTTTGATTAAGGATTTGGAGAGGTTATTGCTTGCGTAGTTGACATGTATAACTATGTATGAGATGGGGTTGAAATTTTATCTCGAACTGTGTAGCATCTCCACTTTTCTCCTGCAGTCTTGGATGAAGTGTTGTGATAAGCATATCCTGTGTGCTTTTAGAAGGAAAGGAATAGTCTTTTTTTTTTTTTTACATAAATCAGTTTTACAGGCTAAGAGCTGTTGATTTACCTCAGCTCATTTCAAATCCCAGCCCTATTTAAGGTATACTACCACTCCCCTGGATGCCACCACAACAGTCGACTAACACCCGGATACCTACTTACTGTTAGGTGAATAAGGGCAGCAGGTGTAAGGAAACACGTCCAATGTTTCCACCCGTGCCAGGGATCGAACCACTGACACACCGTATGCGAGCTGAGCGCGCTGCAGTAAATGGGTTTGCTTTATATCTTAAAATCAACTTTAGGTTCGTTCTTGCAGAGTGGTGGCCGGAAAAGGCGTCTGTTCGTCTTTCCTCTTCAGTGGTAAATAAGTATGAAGGTTCTACAGAGTTTATTACCTTGTTAAGATTAAAGGTGACATGACATACTGCTATATAGAGAGCCGCTTGTTATGTACAGCATTTCGGGCAATTTAGGCCAATTCTGTCCCAGGATGCGACCCACACCAGTCAACTAACTCCCAGGTACCCATTTTACTTACGGGTGAACAGGGACAGCAGGTGTCTTATGGAAACATGTCCCTATTGTTTTCCAGCCGTACCGGAGGAGATTCGAACTCCGGACCTCAGTGTGTGAGCTGAGTGCGCTAGCAATGACCGAGATGCTGTCGACGTACCTCAGCCACGTTACCTCCCTAGGATTGTGAAGTTTTAATATCCTTTCCTCCAAGTGCTCCATATACAAGTTAGCTATAATTGCTATCTACAATACTGTCACCGACGGTAGAAGAGCAAAGATGATACTACACAATGCCAAATAAGATTTCAACTCCAGAAGAAATATAGTTCTACCTGCTAACAACACAAGACCTCGTACAACTAATAAACTATTTTTATTATTATTTTTATTATTTTTATTATTATTATTATTATTATTATTATTATTATTATTATTATTATTATTATTATTATAACCTCTTTAAATCCTTCAAGGCAACATCAGGGTTGCCACCAAAGCCTGCAACACGAAGTACTGTTAAAAAGACAACAGCATCCAAGGATACCACTGTCGGCATTTTCGTACATGATAACACTGGAAATTATGAAGTTTTACACTAGTGGAATTTCTAGGGACCTGAACACGAGGATCAGTGAACACAGGAGCACCTGCCAGATAGAGATGATATGAGCATCAGTACTATTCACCGTAATACACGAAACCATCTGCTGAACTGGTGTAAACTAGTTATCAAAACAGACAGGTGGAACAGATTTTGATTAGGATCTGATCTGATTGCCACACTAACACCGTTATACATAAATCAGGTTTATTCCCAATTTCTGAAGCACTAGCCAAACTTATTCTCACCATATATAGCACTGCTATTACATGACCTACATGGTGGTCCGGTGGCCTGGTGGCTAAAGCTCGCGCTTCACACACGGAGGGTCCGGGTTCGATTCCCGGCGGGTAAAAACATTTCGACACGTTTCCTTACACCTGTTGTCCTGTTCACCTAGCAGCAAATAGGTACCTGGGTGTTAGTCGACTGGTGTGGGTCGTGTCCTGGGGGACAAGATTAAGGACCCCAATGGAAATAAGTTACAGTCCTCGATGACGCACTGACTTTCTTGGGTTATCCTGGGTGGCTAACCCTCCGGGGTTAAAAATCCGAACGAAATCCTATCTTATCTTATGGAGAAGTACTGCAGTTGGCCTGCTGACCCAACTAATTTTAAACATCGTGGTTTTTTCTATTTGGTCGAACCGTTAGCAATCTCTACGCCGAGTGTCTCCTCTCTATACATGAACATTTTACCCGTCTCCGTGTGCATTGTGTTTTGTGTGAGTGTATCAGTAACCCTTGCAATCGTGAGGTAGCATTTATGTTTAATTTTTAAGCATACATGTAATATTAATATTTTAATTGTCGACAGTTTTTTTTTCACCGATACCCATCGATAAAGATGCTTTGGCACATGCCTTATTATAAGACATAACATGCTGCGTTAAAAGAGATTTCTGGAAGTGTAAAAAACACCTGTTTAATTAATATCCTGAAGTGAAGGTTGAGTATCTCAGGCTTGTCTGTTGTATTCCAAAGGTCAAATGGAATAGAGAATACATAGAGAATATATTGTTATCCGTTATCATTTAAGAAACCATTAGAAAACTTTACAATGGAAGAAAACCGATTATACATTTAAAAATATATCTTGAAAAAAATTATTAGCTGCGCTCTCAAACAGTTTATTAATCTTACTTATCCAAATTCATAAAGTGGATTATTTTATCTTGAAACTAGTTTACGGAAACAAAACATCTGTATGTTGTTCCACATCAATACAGAAATCTACGTCACTAAATATTTTAAGCTTAATCAGCACTTTACAATAACATTTTAAAGTATAATGAACTTCTGGTATAGTGTTAAAATAACCAGTTTATTGTGTAAAGTATAAATGGAAAAGTACGGGAGCACAAAAGATGAGCATAGACATCTGCAGCATCCCGACGCACTCACCTCACCTTATGTCCCACCAAGCATTCACTCGGGAATTTTAAACTCAGACTAACCCATTACATCATCATTAACATTAATCTCGGACCTGTACAAACGTCAAACTCCACTAACCTTTACCGATACACAGCATTACAAAGCTGCACTGCATGACCTATACAAGTTTAGAGCTTATTTCTTTTATTTATAACAAAAACGTAGTAAGGAAAACCCCACAGTGACAATACAGTGTGTATATGACGGAGTTTTAAACATATGGTAATTCAGCCAGGACAAAAAAAAAAAAAAAAAAAAAAAAAAAAAAAAAAAAAAAAAAAAAAAAAAAAGTGCGAACTTGCCTAGAATACAGGTAAGGCCCACGAAGAGTGCAGGGATGCCAGAAACTTCAGCATTGCTGTATCCAGCGTTAACCAGGTGGACGTACAGCACACTGAAGCCTGTTACTATGTTACCCATCACGAACTGAGGACAAAAACAAATAGTGATACATGACGGCATACTAAATTAATTTTAAAGTTCACGAGCATCCTTATTTTTTCCCATTTCCAACTTAATTATCTTATAGTGTATTATTTTAATAACTGAGGTGAGTATACTGTTTTTAATGACTTACTGTATCAGTGTTGGCGAACCCACAAAGTGTAAGCAAAGGCCACGTACTCACGGTGAAAGCCTTGGTCACGTACTTTCGGGGAAAAGCCTTAGCCACATACCCTCGGGTAAATCCTTGGCCACGTATCCGCGGGGAAAACCTTGGTCACATACCCGCGGGGAAAACCTTGGCCACGTACCCGCGGGGAAAGCCTTGGCCACGTACCCACGGGGAAAGCCTTTGCTAGGTACTCACAGCGAAGGCCTTAGCAGTATATAACGTCCTTTCGCATTATTTCTATTATGACTTGATAAAAGCTGTACCCAGAGCGTAACGCTGACTAAGAGTTCTATGCGCCAAGTGCCTCTCTACCATACTTGTTGGCAGTACCTGCCAATACCCCATCCAACAGAGTCAAACCCAGGGCCTAAGCAAGGATATTTGACGCTTTACGTGCCTTGGCCTAGGTGTGAATGCGGTCTGGTCCAAACCTCAAATATACAGGGCAGAATTCAAGAAGGAAGCCCACACGTAAGCATGGAAGAGCATGGGAAGCCTTGCAGAATGAGTAGTGGAAAACACCCTTTCTCCTGCTGCTAAGACGATAGCATAATAATATTTAATATTTTTTTTTAATTAACATATCGGCCGTTTCCTACCAAGGCATGGTGACCCGAAAAGGAAGAAACACTCCATCACTGTCTTGCCAGAGGCGTGCCGACTCTTACAGTTCAAGAACTGCAACATATCTTCACCGCTCCTTTCGAGCGCAGACACTGTATTATTACTACTGCTATTACTAATAATTTTTATTTCTACTAATACATGTACAACGTATACAGAAGCTAAGATGGATGGCTTGCGAAACCCAAACCAAGTACATTAAAATGGTATAAAATACCGACAGGTTGTTAGGTAAGACACATATGCAACAGTTAGGTATCTTTATTGTGAAACGTTTCGCCTACACAGTAGGCTTCTTCAGTCAAGTACAGGAAAGGTTGATAGAAGCAGAAGATACTTGAAGACGATGTAATCAGTCCATCACCCTTAAAGTTTTGAGGTGGTCAGTCCCTCAGTCTGGAGAAGAGCATTGTTCCATAGTATGAAACAATATGGAGAAGAAGTGACAGGATGGAGCTTTTATAGCGCCAAGAGGTGAGACGTAGGAGAGGTAAGAACTCAGATGTTGAGAGGTCCCTCTCAAATCCAGCCCCTCTCACTAGTGGAAGTTGCCGAAGTTGATTGCAGGTCTGTACCAAGATACCCTTGTGTTGCAGTGTCTGACAGATTGAACATTAAAATGGTATAAAATACCGACAGGTTGTTAGGTAAGACACATATGCAACAGTTAGGTATCTTTATTGTGAAACGTTTCGCCTACACAGTAGGCTTCTTCAGTCAAGTACAGGAGTTCTTACCTCTCCTACGTCTCACCTCTTGGCGCTATAAAAGCTCCATCCTGTCACTTCTTCTCCATATTGTTTCATACTATGGAACAATGCTCTTCTCCAGACTGAGGGACTGACCACCTCAAAACTTTAAGGGTGATGGACTGATTACATCGTCTTCAAGTATCTTCTGCTTCTATCAACCTTTCCTGTACTTGACTGAAGAAGCCTACTGTGTAGGCGAAACGTTTCACAATAAAGATACCTAACTGTTGCATATGTGTCTTACCTAACAACCTGTCGGTATTTTATACCATTTTAATGTTCAATCTGTCAGACACTGCAACACAAGGGTATCTTGGTACAGACCTGCAATCAACTTCGGCAACTTCCACTAGTGAGAGGGGCTGGATTTGAGAGGGACCTCTCAACATCTGAGTTCTTACCTCTCCTACGTCTCACCTCTTGGCGCTATAAAAGCTCCATCCTGTCACTTCTTCTCCATATTGTTTCATACTATGGAACAATGCTCTTCTCCAGACTGAGGGACTGACCACCTCAAAACTTTAAGGGTGATGGACTGATTACATCGTCTTCAAGTATCTTCTGCTTCTATCAACCTTTCCTGTACTTGACTGAAGAAGCCTACTGTGTAGGCGAAACGTTTCACAATAAAGATACCTAACTGTTGCATATGTGTCTTACCTACCAAACCAAGTAGTTCACAATCAGCTCCACAGCAGGTCTCAACAAGGAAAGCTTCAAAAACTCTAGTGCTAGAATGCTCCTAGGTGCTGTACATAATCTAGCAAGTGCAGAAGGTAAAACTAGGTCTAACAGCCCTGATGTTTATATTCAAACCTGGAGGAATACTTACACACTTCCCAGGAATGGTGCAAAAGGACCTTTCGTGTGGTTAATACCTGCAGCACATTTTCAGCTTAAGTGGTTAGTTAATCGGGTTTAGAAGCGACTGACTACTCACAGGGCTATTAACACTGCATGTAATCTTTTTTACCATCGGTCAAGGATAATTCTGTCCCAGGACAGGGTTACTTAAACTCTTAGCACACACACAGACACACACACACACACACACTATATATATATATATATATATATATATATATATATATATATATATATATATATATATATATATATATATATATATATATATATATATTATATATATATATATATATATATATATATATATATATATATATATTATATATATATATATATATATATATATATATATATGTTATATATATGCAAAACAACCACTCTGAAAGAATAGAGAAATTCCAAGCGCTTTCGTGACTACTCACATTAATGTGAGTAGTCACGAAAGTGCTTGGAATTTCTCTATTCTTTCAGAGTGGTTGTTTTGCATATATATATATATATATATATATATATATATATATATATATATATATATATATATATATATATATATATATATATATATATATATATATACACACTTCTAGGTGTATATAACCAATTCGATTATATGAATTCAAGACCTTAACAAGGAGAATGAAAGAGTGATTCATGAAACAGAATCTCCAGGAACGTTACATGTCTTTCAGTGGAAAAAGACCACGTTATGGAGTTCACGGAACCTGCAAGCCCGAGACAGCATAATGTACAGTCACCATCTTCCAGCGGAAGACCCGGCTTCCTCTTACTGGATAAATTAAAGGGGTCATTTAAAAACTGCTGGTGCTCGTTTGCCTTATGCGACAATGGATCTGTGCTTTTGTATACTTGATGAAGACCAATCAAAACACACTTCAATGTCTTTCTCACTGCTGGATGAACCAAAACAGTTGGGCCTCAGTCATAAGCAATGAAGAGAGCGGAGACCATCAAACCTCCCCCCCCCCCATCAACTACAACTTCGGCACCTAAGAACTGTATTCAAGAGCCTAAACAAAAGAATCCACAGAAAACTACGTATGGCATTTGTCAAACAAATCAGAAGGTATGCAACACCAACAGAGTCCACTCCTGATCAAACATTCATAAGCACGAGAAGGTTCAAATGATCACAACTTAACTCATCCAAGAATTGAGGATACTGAACAACGGAAGTAACTGAACTAAAATATCTTAAAAGGAAGAAGGAGCAGGGAAGATGTGATAATGACATACAAAATATTCTGAGAAGGTTGATACACGAGGAATAAGGGCAAGAAACAGAGACTGAAAGCTGAAAACTACAGTGAAGTTGAGAAATACCTCTTCAGCCTCACGGTAGTGAGAAAGTGGAACGAACCACATCAGAAAGTGGTGGAAGCAAAAGCAGGTACGATAGTGTCTATTGGACCAGGAACCAATGACGTTGATCTATCGTTGATCAAAACTCAGGATCACGAATAAGTGTACTCGACCCCACAAACACCTCTGAATACAACCAAAGTGATATAAACAGAAACAAATAGTATGTGCTTACCCTAATGGATACACAAGAAGCAAGAAGTACAAGCTTGAAAACTTTATGCATTATAATAAACTCGTAATAAATAACAAAGCCCCGTTATATTCATTCCTTCCCTCCCTCCCTAACATTCCCTCCTCCCCCTCCCTGCCTTCTCCACCCACCCAACGAAAAAATACAGATTACCTGAAACTGCTTGCAGGTACCAGACTTCATATTGTTAATTTCTCCGGGGAGTAAAGTCAAGTCTTATCCAACAACCCTCACTCTCCTTCTCTACCTCCCTCACTCCCTCCCTCCCTCAAATACTCTACTGCCCCTCTCTCCCTTTCTCTCTATCCCGTCTCTATTCCTCGTCCCTCTCTCTCCCCTATTTGTCTACTTTTCCTCCTCCTCCAGCGTTACCACTGAGACTCAGCAGCCAGCTGGGTGCTAGTGTTACACTGGGTGAAGAGCTTAATATGAATGTCGCAGCTCTGCTGGTGATTTCACAGTGATGCTTCTAGCAGAGTTGATGTGCGCGCATGTTAAGTAGGAAAGAAGGAAAGTGGATGTAGGGAGAGAAGGGAAGCGGACAGGAGAGAAGGGGAAAGGAGGAGTGTAGTAGGAGATAAAGGAAAGACGAGCACTCTGGAACACATTCCATTTGAATCTTGTCTGATCCTCTAATATCTGGACTAATATAAGGTTTGGTACTGTTACTGTCTCAAATGTTTTCTTGCAGCTCAAGATATAATCCGCCCAGCCCTCTGTGTGTGTGTGTGTGTGTGTGTGTGTGTGTGTGTGTGTGTGTGTGTGTGTGTGTGTGTGTGTGTGTGTGTGTGTGCGTGTATGTGTGTACACGCAGCACTGCGGCAGGAGCGAACGTGTCAATCAATTCAGCTGTCTGCAACACCCTTGAATCCCAACAACTAAGGGTGAAAACTCTTAAAGGCCTCTGCTTGTTTGCACATGAGCGATGACTTGAATCTCTAAAGCCACAGCAACTCGGGAATATTCAAAGGCTGAAGTTTCTCGTACTCGAGAC